AGGTTGACACAATCAACTGTCTTCGAGTAGAAGTTAAAAATGTTTTCCAAAGTCATCAGTGAATCGACGCAAGTGGGTAGACATGAGTGGAGGCGGTTCATTACAGCTGACAGTCGATACTGAAGTGAAAGAACGCAAAATTTTGATGTCTTTTTTCCACACGTGTGACAGGATATCTGGCATCACAGTCATAAAGTAAAAGGGCAAAGGGAAGTTATTTCCCTCCTAGCATATCTTAAGTTCATTATTCCGTGTCTATAATAAAAGCACTATTTGCTTATGCACTCCGTATTCACCCACATCACCATCCACCCCATTTGCCTCCATCCCACCATTCATCCCTGCGCCAATTTCTCAACCTCTTTAACTTCATATATTGCTGACTGTCTAGACGGAAACGCATTGAACACATGTGTAAGAGTATGGAAGAGTGGACAGTGGTGTGTCTGTATCTATGGAATGGCACTTCATGTGCTGACACAGGGATTATCCGCATGAAATGCAGTAGAGGTGAATTTCACTGTCGGTCAAGACAGAAGCATGACTAGATGCAGTGGGCATGGTTTAGCCAAAGGGAAGAAGACGACCTGACGTAGAGAAGAAAATATGGATTACTGATGTCTGATCTGTAGTGAGAGTGATCTCATGCACTACCTTCGCAATGCTACAGCTCGAACAGAGGTGCTGGAATTCTGTCATATTCATTTAAGCTACTGGTTTTAACCAGTGGAACGAACTAAATGCCGCACCCAAGAAGATATACTTAGAAGAGTCAGAGGTAATGTAAAACACCTATTATGGAGGAAGAGGGAGACGGGAAGAGATAAAAAGTGAGTGTTAGTCCATGGGTAGTTGAGGTTCGACGTAGACCCTTGTGATTATCCAACGGTCGAGATATCCTGCTCCTTCACTTTCACCAGCACTTGTGCTTTTGCTTTCCCTGTCACCTCATCCTCCTCCGTCTCTTTCAGCTCTGTATGTGCTGCTCCATTTCTTCCATTTCACTGTCCTGTCATGCGTCCGATTTGTGGAAACCACGTGTCACCTCCAGGTCGGTACCCCTGTTTGTGGCACTGGTGGGGTTGAATGTCTGAGTAACCACAAAGGCGAAAACCAGCACACGCAATGCAGCAAAATGGCGACACGTCGTTTTGGTTGACCATCGAAGGAGAGAATACATGACTGGGGACATCATTAGCGTATTGACTGTCTATTGAGAGTAAGTGTTCGCTGGCGACTCTCACAAGCGCAGAACGAGGGCTTTGCCTTCTACTTCAGCTGATGCTGCTTTCATTTTGCCGCTGCGCTTGACACATCCTCCTGTTTTGTGTCTGCAGATGTGACTTGCTAGTCTGGCGACAATAAGAAGAGTAGTCTCCATCTGACGTGACACTTTCCTAAAGGGGGATGGCGAAGGACGTCATAGAAGAAGGATGTAGGGGAGAATTGTATTGGGGTTTGGAGGAGGTGGAGTTGACAGAGGCGTAATGGAGGCAGAGGGACGAGGCATTCTGGTGTCACTAAATCGCAAGAAACAGATTAAAGCAAAAGAGAAAAAGTACATAAAATGCAAAAAAGGAAGCAGGAGTGGGGCAGGCATGGTAGGGCATAATGCGAGTCAGCCCTTGAGAGCATTAATAGCAGTATGAGGAGAAGGAGACACTCACTGAAGAGGCATTGAATTGGGGCATGCTCCACCGTTTCCACGACGTCAATAGATTTCTTTGCTATATATGCACATTGCTCCCTAAATCTACAAGAGACAAGAAAAAGGCCTCACTGTACGTGGCTTGAGGTTCTATCGAGTTGATGTGGCATGATAAATGAGTCAGTAGTGGGATCGCCTCGAATGGTGGAGCAAGTTGGCTGCTATGAGGTATGCATGATAGAGCAGATAATTCTGCCCATCCTATCTTATCCTATCCTCCTCCAAGCTATCATAATGCAGCTCAGGCGCCTCATCTAGTGCGGTTAAGTCAAGCCAAATCTAGTGTAGCGTAATCTAGTGCCATTCAAGTGGGATAGGCAACTCTTAGAGATATGGGGCAAGGTAACATGGATCACTACTACTACTGATGCTAGTAGTGAGTTAGTGGTTGTGAGTGCATATAAGAGAAGCATAGACGCCAGGTACGGCACAATAGGTGTAGTAAGTGGCATGAATGGGTTAGACGAATTGGCCACTTACTCCTAAACATTGCTACGCAGCTAGCAAACGTGAGTTCTTGATGAATGTTCCTAATTCTGTCTCTTAGTGAATTGTCGCCTCTGACCAGGGAGAACAATTAAGGCGACTAAACCCTTCCGGTGGAGGCAAAGTAACATTACTGTGTAAATGAAGGAGAAGAGGGAGGTGGAGGGTTGAGGAAGAGAAGAGGAGAGATGGGGCCAGATAAGACGACTGAATGAAGCATAAAGTAATGGACTTAGATGGAGGGTATGTGTATTTCTACCAAAAGTAGAAGTTGAATATCCTACACGGTTCTTTTTACTACGTCATTTGTTTCATTCTCCTTCCCTCCATTGGTAAATTCATGCATTTACCTACCTACAAACGCACCTACCAACCTGGCCATACAACTGCTGGAAAAGTAAAACAAATCACTTAGTTAGAGGAAATATGCATAAAGAGGCTCCTCCTAGATGTCCACACATATGTCGCAATGACTGGACTAAAAGTTGAGCTAATATTGAAATGATGAATTGACATGAATGAGGAGGGAAAGCAGGAATAATAAAAGCGGGAGAAGGAGGAGGTAGTAGCATAACTTACCCTTAATTACTACGACTTCCACTTGTTCTACTGGTTTAGATCTCCTGAGGTCTCTGGAATGGCGGATTGGGAGGCTGGAAGTGACCTGGAGATGGCGATGGAGAGGAAGGCGGTGGAAGTGGAGGACGAGAAGGAGCCCGGTAACGAGGACGAACCGAAGCGGCAGGGGGGCGTTGACAATGAACTGGATCGTGGGAATGACGACAATGCGCAGAAGCGCGAGAAGTAGTAAAAAGCACTGGAACGCGTAGTTCAGCATATCTGGCGGTCGGTTGTGTTAATTTACTTCATCGCATCAGCTGACACGTCTGTAAATCGATCGGTGACACATATTCCACGGTGTCTCGTGTTGCAGTGTGGCGTCATCCCTGGACGGCAATCCTCGTTGACGTTTTCGTGGATGTGGAAAAGGTTTTTTGTCTATTTTGGATGGAAATGTGGCAATCCAGCATGCTTTCATAGCATTTTGACAGGATTGTTCTAATTTAAATTCAAGTTGTCGCCTAATTTAGAGTGGACCGAATAACATAATCAGGACTTGCGCTTTATAGGTTGCAGTAGAGAGCACATCACCTTCTGGAGACTGTACGGAAAACTAAATAACAAAACCCCTGACCGGGACCGTGCTCATTGATTTTACCTCAAATTTGTCCTAGGCAGGCGACAGTGAGGCGCCAAGATAATTGCTGCTTAAATATAGTGGGTAAAGGATTAACTGGCTCTGAATATCCCACAGCCAAAATGAAACCCGTTACAATGTGCTTCAAACGCATCCCTATCTGTTTCCAATGGCTAGGAGAGCTCCGTGATGGACTTCTGCAATTTTTACTCTAGTAGCAGTGACCGCTTACTAAAGATGAATCTAACCACAATACCTTAATTCTAGTTCTTTGCTTTTCTACATAACGCTCTTCACGATCTCTAGTAAAGCTATGGTGATATCATGTGATACCTTTCCATCAACATCATACATTTTTTTGCTTCTCGGGTATCATTTTGAGGTGGAAATATCTGTAAAAGTAAGCAGGAACACAAAAAGAGATTGTAAGACTGGCATAAATTACTGTAAATGGAAAAAGGCTTTATTGAAATCTCTAGTTGGAGTCAAGTATGTTCTAGCCCACTAAATCGTTATGGGGGCAGCCGACTGGTAAAGACGGCGATTCTTAAATCTTCTTAACCCTCCTGATGGAACAGATTCAAGAATGCGAAAACATACCTCCACACCGTGAGTAGATAATTCCTCAAGTGAAAGAGTTACCGAATCCAATGTAGCCAGCTTTGAAGTCGTGGTAACAATACACCTCGCATCAATCATGTCAACGTGGACGCGTCCCTCAAAATCCTGCTGCACCGCAATCACAGACGCTCCTATCAGATTCACTTGACACGAAGAATGAAACGGTAGTTAAGGGCTATTT